AGCCTGGCGCTAAGGCAGGGAATCATGGACTCAGCAAGAACTTAAGAGGCACAGACTAGTCGGAAGTGTGGTCTCACTCATGGGACCCAATGACTTGGAACAGGGCCTCAGTCCTACCTACCCATCTCTCCCTCCTGATCCTTTCCCAGCTTCATGCTCTTTACCCACCTTCCTGCTTTCCTCTTTCCCCTTTCTCTTTTGCTTTATCCTTTTAGGTCTCTAGGCCTTTTTTTTGGCCAACCAATCTACACAATAATGAAGCATTTACATGTGCTGGGCAGTAAGCTTCATGATAGGGCGGCCACAATGTGAATCAGACAAGGTCTCTGCCCTTGAAGGAGCTCAAGGGTGGGAGGAAGTGGACAATATATGGGGGGAGGGGAGAGAGGGCAGAGCAAAGGGAGAGATGACAGAGGAGGGTGCAAGATGAATTGGGGTCAAATATGGAAGGCTTTAACTGCAGTGTTATGTTTAGTAGGAAGGTGTAAGTTTGGGCTAAAACACCATGAATAATGTTTTAAGGACATTAAAATAGTAGTAATGTTGCATGGAGGGAGAGAGAATGGAGGCAGAGGGACCACAGGAAGCAACTTGGTGTAGTGCAGGTTTGTTTCAAACAGGGCACAGGGGTTGGGGTAAAGGGGGAGGAAATAGCAGACATTCTGGGTTGCTTTGTCCTACTTTCCCCCATATCCTGCCTCATCAAGGTTCTCATTACTCTTCCCTGTCTCTCCAGGGTGAGAATCAGGGCTTGAGTGAGCCTTTGTTACTGGTGTGTGTGTCAAATTCCCCAGATGCACTAGAAAGGAAAAAAATTTGGAACCACTGACCCAAAATGGGGTAGACACTCACTAATACTTATGGAATGAGTGGATATATGGATATGCACTTGTCTTGGAATTGGAAGGCCCACGTTTAAGGCCCACTTCTTATCATCTGTGTGCCCTTAAGAAAATCCCCAGTTTCCTTCTCTATGAAATGAGGGGTCAGAAAGGATGTTCTTATAAACTCCTTCCAACTACACTTTTTTCATTATATGAATTCAATGTGATTATCACAGCCAAGGTGTTCGTGTATGTGGAGGGGGTGGCATGGACTGAGGTACTGGCAATAGGCACAGAGAGGATAAATGTGGGAAATATTTTAATAGAGGAATCAACATCTTCTGGCTTCAGTTTTCAGCAATATTGTTGAATAGATAAGCCAAAGGTCTTCCTGCTACACAATACATGGACTGATTCACAAAATATAACAGACACCTGAAATGCCTAGCTGAGCTTGCAAGAAAGGACAAAATATACATGAACCAAAACAAAGGAACTGAGACCAAGAAATATAAGCAGGAGATACGCTGTGACTAACCCCAGGAGGAATGGGAAGGGAGGAATATTGCTTGTCTGTCCTGACCTGGGTCCTGATTGGAGTAGGAGGAGTTGCCTTTGAGAATTTATAACTACTTGAGTGAGAGTTTGAACTCAACTCCCGGAATCCTTGGCACAAGCAAACACAAAATGGCTCAGTAGAAACATACCCTCACCCAAGCCACAGAATATTACTGCCCAGGTAAATCCCCACTGAAGATGAGCTCACAAGCTAAAAATTGCAACACATAAAAGGAAACAATGTACCATGAATGAGAGTAGATAAGACCCTGAAGAACTTCAATAAGATCCAACAGGTCTAAATGACACTCTAGGTTTGGGGGAAGGAGGGTTCAAAGATGGATCCCACAGAACTGTAGTTATTTAGATGAGTCTAGGGAACCAAACAAATGATGGTTGTCAATAGTAGAAACTGGGTATATGAAAGGATGATTTGATTTTAGACAGACTGTATTTGAAATGGTGGTGGGACACCCATATGGAGATGTTCATTCGTCAGAATCAAGGGGCTGCAGCTGGGGTAGAGACCAGGGCTGGCTACTTATGTGTCATCTATGTAGCAGTGATATCTGAAGAAGGCCTGGGAATCAATGTGCTCTCCAAGGAGAGTTTTGAAATAGGGAAGGAGAGCACTCAGAACCAAGACTGGGAGAACACCCACATTTTGAGGACCAGATGAAAAAGAGGTTTAAGTAAGGAAACTGAGCTAGCTCTCTGTTAGTCCCTAATTCTGCTTGGGTCCTGGGTTTGGGTTGAGTTTCTGATTGGTTTTCTTTCCATCTCCAGCTTAACATCCTCTTCCCTCAGAATCCCTAGGCGATGTTCAGCAAATGCAGCTGTTTCCCTTGGGAGTAATAGGAGAGGCTTCTCAGCTGGAAGTTCTAGAACAAGGCTGGGCTCTGGTACCAGAGGCACTACTAAATCAACTTTCTCCTCAGTGATATTAGGCCTAGACAGGTGTGAGGACACGATGGGGCATGATAGAGCTGATGGTGCTCCATGGAATTGCTGCTGAAGGGGGCAAGGGTGGGATAGTTAGATGCCACCCACCCACAGCCTGTCTGCCCTTCTTCCTTTGTTCAGGTTATGTGTTATGAGACCAGTTGCTTGAAATCTGGGCCTTTGTGCTCTTCCTTACCCTTCTCTACATGGAACTTGAAGTCAGGGAAAACTTTTCCTAATAAGGACTTGAAACTGGAAAACAACAAGCCATTTTCCAGCAAAGCCAGGCAAAAAAATAGGAGATGGTAGAAAAAATTTCTGGAAGGAGTGATAAAAACTTAAGCACCACACGGTCCCATTTAGTTTAAAATGTAAATGTAATTATTTTAAACAAACATTGCTCTGAATTGTAAATATTTTTTTTGTATGTAACAAAACACATTTCAGGTTATATGTAATTTAAATATTTGTAAGTATTTTTTTAAAAAGAGCATATGTCTGAATGTGGCCTGAATCACGTTTAAATATTGTTGGCTCATATTGATTATGGTGCCTAAGAAATTCCGTTGTTTTATTGTCCTGAGTTGTGTAAACCTCCAAAATATACACTGCACATTTTTTTCTAAAAAAAAAAAGTGAAAGGTGTAGTCACTTAAATAGTAAGATAATGAGAGTTATCCTTATCTTACATTTCCATGAATTTACCACTTACCAATTACAATGCCTGATGGTGTATCATTTGACCCCCTCTAAGGGTTACACATTGCCCTCTGCAGGTTACACTTTTAAAATGTTAACTCTCCTAGAAGAGGTAATAGCAAATCTTTTATCAGAAATTGTTTATTAGATATTCTTATTATTACAAGATACTCAACATGAACGCACTTAACACCTGGGGAGAGAAATGGGTAGAATTCTCCGACTTGATAATTTTGTCTCTGGGCAATTGGACTGTGGCTGTGCAGGGTGAGCACATCTGAGAGTGAAGGGATGAAGAAGCCAGAGCATCAGAAGCTGGGTTGATCTGGCGTCAAGCTGTAAGGCTCTCATAGCTCAAGAATAGCTCAGCTCAAAAGAGAAAATAATGAAGTCCCCCACCCCCAGACAAGCCCTATCCTTTCCTTAGCGTGACAGGCTTATAATGCCCCAACGTCTGCCCAAGGTGGCCACAAAGAGTGTAAAAGCTTTTGGGTTGGGAGTTCAGGGAGTAAAAGGGGGCAGATTTCACCCCTTCTCCATCATAGGATCATGCTTTCCTCACCACTCTCTTAGCCACACTCCCTCCCCTCCAAGCCATGAAGGGTTCACCTGGAGGAGAGTTGGAGAAAAGGGGCTATGTCAGGTGCAGAGCTGAAGAGTAAGTGGGCTGCTGCCTCGTGGAGAAGACCCCCTGTAGAAAGAATAACTAAGGTGATGGTGAGCCTCTGGTAAACACCCTCTCCTGTCTGGCACGGCTCTGCCCATCAATGGTCTAGAGCAGCGGTTCTCAACCTTCCTAATGCTGCAACCCCTTAATACAGTTCCTCATGTTGTGGTGACCCCCAACCATAAAATTCTTTTCGTTGCTACTCTATAACTGTAATTTTGCTACTGCTATGAATCGAAATGTAAATATCTTTTTGTTTTCTGATGGTCTTAGGCGACCCCTGTGAAAGGCTCGTTCAACCCCCAAAGGGGTTGTGACCCACAGGTTGAGAACCGCTGGTCTAGAGTATGCTGAGTTCTTCTTGGCCCTGACAGCATGTGATCCTCATACAGATACATAGCCACTTGCTGGAGCCTCTGTGACACTCAACGCGAACAGCAAACAGTGTTCACAAACAGCACTGAAATACTGCAGTCTTCTGCTGCTGACACTATTGCTTGGGGCTCCCTCTTGTTGCTGAACCTATTTCACCTCTTGGTAGGAAGGCTTTCCAAACAGTGCTATTAAGCCAAGTTACCACCATTCTGGGGTTGGGAAGAAAACACTGGCTTTGGAGCCAGACAGATCTGAGTTTGACCCTGTCAGTTCCTAGCTGGGTTGCCCAGCAAGTTACCTGCTTTGCTTCCTCATCTCTGAGATGGAGTATATGACTGCTGCACTCAGGATTGTGAGGATTAAGGAGGATAATATATGCATAATGTTTAACACCTAAGCCTCTCAACCACTCTCAAATTCCAAAAACACCTTGAGCCCTTGGGTCAGCTGTGATTAAATTCATTCGTTAATTCAGTACATATTTATTGAATGCCTACTATGTGCCACATTGCCTGACAGTAGGTGCATAATGACTCCATGAGTGTGAGGGTCTTTCTTTTCTAATAGCACATATTCACCTGGGGGTGTGGTTGGGGGAAGGGGTCAGGAGCTTGGATGGCAGATTCAGTAAGCTTTTAGCACAATAATTTTAATTGCAAAAATAAACAGTTTTGCCAACTGCTTAAGAGTAGCGTCTGCTTTACAAAAAATTAACAACAAAAAGGAAATAACCCCAAAGCAAAACGTTACATCCAATGGCTGCTGGAAACGACATTGCTATACAAAATACCGCGCGAGACCGGCTCGGCGCTGCCCAAGCCTGTCTCTGGGGTGGGGGATGGGGTAGGGGACGGCGTGGGGCGTGCGCCTGTTACAAAAGACTGTATTGAGTCCCAAGGAAGTGCCTGCTCAGTGGGTGGCCTGAGAGGACTTCCCCAAAGCGCGGTTGACAGCGCCCAGACGGCGGGAGCTGTCCATAGAGCTGGTGCTGAACGGAGCGTGTGCAGCGGGCTCTTCCAGGGAACTTGCAAGCCGGACCAGAGGCCGGCCCCGGGGCGTGCCGGGAAGAGTGGGGAAGGGGGAAGGGGGAAGGGGGCGGGCCAGGTCTTTTCGTACGAGCTGGAGCGGCGGCGCCCCAAACTACAAACCTGTTTTCCCCTCACAGGGCGGCGAAGGAGAGGCCCAACGAGTAAAAGCCTAGACCCTTGAGCCGCTCCTCGGCGCGCGCCTTTTGCTTGAGGTGCACCTTGCTGTGCCGTTTCTTCTCATCGCTGCGCGCGAAGCGGCGGCCGCACACGTCGCAGGCAAAGGGCTTCTCGCCAGTGTGGGTGCGCACGTGTGTGGTAAGGTGGTCGCTGCGGCTGAAGTTGCGGAGGCAGATGCGGCACTGGAAGGGTTTGTGGCCCGTGTGGATGCGCAGGTGGCGGTTGAGCTCGTCGGAGCGCGCAAAGCTGCGCACACAGCTCTCCACCGGGCAAGCAAAGGCCTTGGCATGTGGCCGCGGGCAGAAGCAGCGTGCGCTACACTTGCCACCCCGGCGCCCCTTGCGCCGTGCCTTAGCTGGGGGGAATGGGGTTGGCGGCGCTGGAGATTCAGGCACACCACTGTTCCCAGGGATGTCCACCACCAGAGGTTTCGGAAAGTCCACAGCGGCACTGCGGAGGCCCAGCGGGGAAAGCTGAGGCTGTGTACCGGCCAGGAACTCTCCACTGTCGCCGCTACTCCCTCCCTCCCCACTAGGAGGGGTCAGGAGCCCCGGGAGGCCCTCAGCCCCCTCCCCTAAGTCACCCGGGGCCAGCGGGAAAGCGTCGTAGGCCCCAGTGGGGTAGAGTCTGTTGGCCGGGCCAGCCGGCAGCTCCGCGGGGCAGCTGATGGACAGCACATCTTCAATCTTGGCTTCCAATGGGGGGAAACGGGCCTCAGAGGCGGCCTGGTAGCCTCCCTGTGACCCACAGCTCCCTGGGGCCCCGGCTGAAAGCAGCTCCCAGGGAGCGTAGGGACCTTTGAAGGCCAAGGCAGTGTCCAACGCTGGAGAGGCCGGAGGAGCTCGGCGGCCTGGCTTGACGTCGGGTGGGGAGAGCTGAGGCTCATACAGGCACTGTGAGGGGGCGCCAGCCGAGGGCGAGGCCTCCCAAAACGCCTCTGGGAAGGCGGCAGCGCCCAGATCCGGGGAATAAAGGTCCGGCGGACCCGGCAGCAAGGCGTCGGGGCCTGTGGGAAAAGAGGTGTCCAGCGGAGACCGGGATGCTGCCACTTCAGGGCCGGGGAAAGGTGCCAGGCCTAGGATGCCCGACATGAGGTTGAAGAGTGCCTCCGGGTCGTGCGGGTGTTCGGGCACTGCCTGGATGAAGAAGCTACCGCTGTAGCTGAGGCCCGAAGGGGGCGTGGGCGCAGGCCCCTCCAGGAAGCAGGAGTCGGCTAAGTCACCCCCAGCGCCGCAGCTGCTCAATGCCCAGCTCAAGAAGTCTCCTGCTGAGGAAGGAGCAGGAATCACCTCCAGGCATATAAAAGGGCGCGCCTCGGAGTCCGCAGCCCCTACCCAAGGATCCTTTGGTGAGTACTGACACATATAAAGTGCCTTTTGCATATTCTGATGCATTTAGAGCTGGCATAAGTCCCAAGACGCACACACAAATATGCACACACAAAACACACGTGTACAGGCAAAAGGGCTCCTTGATACACGCACAGTTTCCTGTGGAGGCGCTGGAGGCCCGGTGGGGGTGGGAATAGTGGTGCGCACCCCAGGACCCCCGACCTACCACTCCTACCCCCCACACCTCCTGCGTCCCAGTCCCTGCCGGTTCTCAGGCATCGTGCGCCCCCGCACTGCGCCGCCGTCTGAGCACCCTCGGCCACGCTCCTTACCTCCGGGGTAGCCAACGGCCGCGGGCGCGTCCCTGGCGGGTAGCCGGGACACTTCGGTACTGGTTTCGGAGCAACAGCCTTCGGTGGACTTGGCCATGAGCGCGTCGGGGTCGGAAAACTCGCTAAGGTGGAGCATGGCGCGGCGGTGACTGCGTGGCGCCCGGGGCCTCGCCCGGTGGGCTTGGGGGCGCGCGGATGGAGGGGAGGCGCGCAGTCGGGGAACCTTGCGCCTCGCAAACTCAGGCACCTGGGAGCTCACCTCTGGGATACGGGTTAGGGGGCCGAGGCGCCCTTGTTTGCTGGGACCGGCCTCCGGCGGCTGCTTCTCGCGTCTCCAAAGCTCAGCCGGGCTCCCCCAACCTGCGGCCCTCCCACTTATATAGCAGCGGCTGCGCTAGCTCAGGGCTTCCGACTCCCGGGGCCACTGCCATTTCGGGAGGCCCCGTCCCTGCCGCCGTGACGTAAATGCCCAAACATGGACACAGGATGTGTGCCGGGGACTCCCGAAAAGGAAAGCTCGGGCTGTGACGTCGTTGCTGCCGCCGCCGCCGAGCCCGCGCCGCTGCGTGCGCGCGCTCCCGAAGCGTAAAGCCCTGTGCACGCAGGGGCCGCGGGTGCGCCTGACTGGGGCGCTGCACCGTGTGGTGCAGGTCGTCCTGTAAGTGCACTTCCCGCCTGGAAGCAGAGGCCAAAGGACTGCGAGGGAAAACCGCGTGGGTTTGGGATTCCACGGTTTGGGGTTCAAACCCGATCTCTGTCAATTACTGTATCATTTAATCTCCCTGAACGTCGGTTTCCTCACCTGTACAATGGAGAGATGCATGTATACGTCTACAAATTTATGTCTACTTCATAAATTTGCTATAAAGAGTAATTGGGTTAGAGCTTATTAAGTTTTAGGTACAGGGGCACGCAGTAAACCAGAAAGAATATTGCCATTATATGCTCACACCTATGTTTTTTTTTTTTTAAAAGTTTTTTTTTAGTTTATTCTAGGAAAAATAACATTTAAATTGAAAAAGACCATAATACTTGATAATGGTAAGAGAAAAAGTAGTAGAGAAGGGTATATTTTTAACTGAAAAGTCAGTCTCTCTTTACCCTACCTACTTTCCTGAGGTAGCCACATCTAAGTTTCTTATGTAATCTTTCAGGAAAAAATTATGCGTATACAAGCATTCACACTGTCCCGCGATGTAATTTTTCCCACTTAAAATAGCTGAGAGATTGTCCAAACCTAAAAAGCTTGGTCATTCTTTTCTAAGGTTGTATGGTATTCCATTGTAAAGGAGGTCAATTTGTCTGCTATCTATGAACATACAGGAAGTTTCCAACTTTTTGCTTTCACCAGTGTTGTTGTATCAGCATCCTTGACTATATACAAGTGAATATATCTGTGAAATAAATTCCAACGAGTGTAAATTTGGATCAAATGGTATGTAAAAAGTTGATACAACTGGCAACTTCCAGAGAAGTAGGCCAATTCCTGTTTCCTCGGCACTCACCTACAGGTTTATTTTGAAATAATTTTGTAGACCTTTCTTTCTGCCTTCATATAAATACTTTTACTCTAGGAATGTTGTTCCCAGCAACACAGAGATGACCCACAGGATGCATTTCCCTGGAATTAGTACCTGGAATAATTGGGCTCCTTCTGAAAAACTTAAAAAAAAACACACAAAAAAATCCCTATCATTAAGGAGGCTGTGAATCTTGGCTGCATGTCAGTCAACTCCTGCAAAGAAGACTGTCTACTCTCCTGATCGCCTCTCTCTTCTGCTGTGGTTTTCTCTCTGCCTTTTTCTCATCCTTTAAAAGTTTTTCTTTTTAATTTTATTTTGTGTTATAGTTGACTTAATGCCTTTTTGGAACCAAATTAGGGAATTAAATAAATACATGGGATAGCATGTTTTTCTTTATGAAGGGCATCAATTCTTTGGACTCTGAGTGCTGGAAGGTGGAAAGGGCAGGGTTGGGTGGGGTTCCCTCTTCCTTCTGTGTTTTCTTAGGAATGAGAACAAAGCCATTCAGGGGTTATGGGCTACAGCAAGACTGGCCTTGTATCTCCCAGCTTCTCTTGCCCACCAGTACTCTCCTTTTCAAGAAAGAGTGCCAAGAATGCCCAAACCCCATCAAATTCTCCAGCTTTTCACTGTATGTTCATTATCCAGACATTCATTCATTCAGTTTCTCAAAGTTCATTCACTCAGTATTCTTAACTGCCTACTGTGGGCCAGATGGTAGATTTGGGTTTTTATTTTACTGGGAATCTGAGACCTACCTCCATCCCTAGCTGCCCCAACCCCCAACCCACAAGGACCCTATAAACATGTTCACAGAATGTGTCATCACATAATCACCTGCAAAGCACATGCGGGCACACTTGCATTCATCTTCTCCTCGTGTCTGGAAATCATACAAAGGTTTTCACAGTCATTCATGTGCAGCATGTCCTAACAAATGCCATACATATGTTGGCATCACATATGTTTGCATGTAGGAAATGCAGAAACCCAGCACATGTCTATAAGGATTAGACACACAGAGCACTATTTCCCTTAAACTCTATTTCAGACCGGAGTTTGATTCTAATCCAAATGCATTGCCAAGACCAGGTGAGCCCACACTAGACACGCAGGGCACACATGTCTCAAATCCATTCTGGCATCTTGCTGCCTGGGAGGGAGGGGGAGCGGAGTGGTTAGGCTAGGCCAGTGTCCAGGGCTCCCCAGGTTGCCCCGTCGGGCCAGATTGGCCAGCCCCAGGTTCCCTGTCCCTTCTGCTGTTCTTCCCTCTGCCACAGCATTCCTCCTCCTTCTTAGTCATGGATAATTCCCCTAGTCCTTTGGCAAGTTCCCAGGTCATTGCTACTCTCTGCCAAGGGCCCTTGAGCTAGGGCTGTCTTAAGACAAGGGTCCAACTCCTCTCAACTTCCTCTTGTTAGAGGCCAGGCCTGGAGACAGAGCTGGGCGGGGGGAGTGAGTAGGAGAGGAGATGGGGAACACAGCTTTTGCTCTGGGTGTGGGCTGGCCCACACTCCCATCTCTGTACCACTTACCTTCAGTGGACACACATATACACACTCTCATACATGATGGTTACCTGTGGAGGGCAGTTGCATCTGCATTTGGTTCCCTGAGGAGGAGGAGGAAATATAAAGGGGGAATGGGCATTTTGTAGTTCTTCCCAGCAAAGCCCCTCTCACCCCAAATTTTAAGAGCTTGTGTCAAATAGAATAAAGGTCTTTGGGAGTGGATGGAAGAGAGGAGCAGAGACCTATGAGCTCCACTTTAATTCACGCTTCAAATATAAAAACACAAATTTACACAAGGGAAAAAAGGGAAATCACATTGAGCACTTTAAAAATATGTCATTTATCGGGGCTGACCGAGTGGCACGTTGATTAAGAGGTGGCTTGGGATGCCAGCTCTGTGTAGCAGGGCCCCGGTTCGGATCCCACATGAGAGCCAGTGACACTGCCCTCTACAGCTAAGATGGTGAACAACAGTTCAACCTGGAGCTGGGCTGCCATGAGTCTCCTGCGACGGCATAGGCTGCAGCCCCTGCTGCAGTGGGCTCCCATAAGCTGCCATGAGTGGCCAGCAGCCAGTGTGAGCTGCCAAGAGCCACTGTGAGCGGCTGTCCAGAGGCCGGCGATCCATCTGACTCGCCCAGGAAGAGCGCAATGAGAATCCCAACATGGGCCAGTGAAGCAACGTCCTCCACAACTAGACTGAAGAACAAAAGGACAGCAACTTGTCTGTTCCCCTTCCCCAGATTCCCCAGTGCTGTTCCCCTACCCCAATTCCCCAATAAAAATCTTTAAAAAAATGTCATTTATCATCACAAAAGCTCTATAGAGGAAGGAATTGTAGACCCACTTCATAGATGGAAAACAGACTCAAAAAGGTTAAATAACTTGCTCAATGCCACACTTGGATTCAGTGGTGGGACTGAGAGTCAATCCCAGGCTAGCCTACTCCACAAGATAATTTTGGAAAAAAATAATTCATTTTACAAAAAGATTCACTCTAGGATGACTTTAGATGGAGGATCTCCCTCTAGCTTTGCAGGTAGGGTATGATGTGCAAACTCGATCTGGCTGGTGTCCGTTTCTGCAAGAATTCCCTGGAGAGACTGCCATGGATAGGAGCACTGTGGGTCACATCAGACACACACTGAGGAGCCATCCATACAAAGTCCCTGGGAGCCAGCGTGGAAGTTGTTGTTATAGGTGGTGGTGGTGTGTGGGGGTGTGTGTGTGGCTGTGGGGGAGGGTGTAGAGGAAATTTCCGATTTCCATGGCAAAAGGTGGGAAAAGGCATGTTTACTTTCTAGAGAAGCACTGAACAGACAATTAGTGAATGAATTAATGAATGAACAAATTCATTCATCAAGTGTTCATTGAGCGCTGGAAGCTCTGGATTCAGAGAGGGAGGAAGAGGGGAGATAGGTAGGAATAAGCCTTCCTTCTCTCTTCTGGGAATGGCGCAACCCCTGTTATCGTTCTGGTAATGCTACTGCCCCCTTCCCCCACCCTACCTTGATCTTTCTGCTCTAAATATCATTGTGTTCAAATAATAGTGTATGTATTTTAAAAGACTCCAAGAAGACAGCTGCCTTGGAGTATTAATCATGAAGAGGCCAGCACTCAGTCTCCATGGCGACTCCTGACAGCTGAGGAGCAGTTCCACATCCCACTTCCTGGGGCCATGGAGATGCAGGAACACAGCATCTCTCAGCCTTCTCTTTCCTCTCTGCCTCTCCGCTCTCCCCCTTTTCTCTCTATTCTTCTTCTCTCCCATCCTCCCCCTCTGCTCCCTCTCTTTTTCTCTACCTAAAGGATTTATTTACAAGCAGGGACAGAGGCAGGACCTAGCCATCAAAGTAACAAGAACAAGGATGAGGCTGCAGCAGAGATGAAATTTGCCTCCAGCTGCAACCTCTGCAGTACACAGCTCCCCTCTCCAAGGCCCCTGCAGGGCCCCTAGACTTCATTGACCACTAGGGCAGAACGAGTCTGATCATCTGTCCCTGAGGCAAGGGACCCACCATCAGGTCCTTCTCTGTCACCTCCTTCTTCCCTGCTCATGGCCAGACATTGGTGTATGGTTGGGGTCCTTATTGTTATTACTTTTTTTAATGCCCACAGAAGTCATGTAGGCTCATTGGAAAAAGACAAATGTGTTAAAATTTATAATGCAAAAAATGAAAATATCTTTCCCAACTCTGTACCCAGATATATTCGTTTATATTTAAATAGCTTTCAGGTTGATTCCTATAGGGTTTTTTTTCATGCACATTCATTCAACATTTATCAATTCAACCGTAGTGTCATCATCATCATTATTATTTATACCAATGGTAGCGTACTATACAGACTCTTCTAATTAACATTGTACCTGGAATGATTTTTCTTTCCCCCAACCATGGTACAGACTAATCTGTAGTATTGTTAACAACTGTCCCAGAGTACTCCATCATGTCGATATACATAACTTTTTAACTTGATAGTTTCCTGTTTCTCACTATTATAAAGAATCTGGTTGTGCCTAGTATTTTATGCATACTTGGGGCACTGGTGGGGGTAATAATATTAGTACAGTATGCTAGCTAACATTCATATACCCCTGACAGTGGGCACTATTTACCAGGTATTGAGAGCTTTACATATATACTCACCATTTAATCCTCACAACAGCTTGATAAGTACTATTATTATCTCTATTTCACAGATGGGGAGGTTAAGAAACTTGTCCAAGCTTACAAGATTAGTAAATGATGGTGCCAGGATTTGAATCTATAGTATAACTGTAGGCTAGATTCCAAAAAGTAAAATTCCTAGGTCAAAGTACGAATACTTAAAATTACAATATACAAAGGGTGCCAAAACAAATGTATACACATTTTAAGAAAGGAAAACTGTATTAAGATTGTAATAATATATACCAATAACAAAAGATGGATATAAGTCACGTTTGACTTCTGCAATTACAAGAGGTGCTCAAAGTGGTTACCATTAGTGTCCATACACTTCTGATTACGGCGAACTACTGCTTGAGCAACATTGACCATAATGTCCACTTGTAAACATTTTTTTGGCTCCCCTGGTTTATTGTCAAACCTTCCTCTAAAAAGATTGTCCCAATTTTGAGCTAGACAGCAGCATATGAGAGCCAACTGATAGGCAGAAATAGGTATTCCAGTGATATTTTAATGTGCATTGTAAAAATTATCAGTAAGGACGAGAATCTTTTCACAGGACCTTGGTATTTCCTTTTCTGTGACTTAGGGGACTAATGCTTTACCCAAAGACACCTGAGTGGGAGCATGTACTGGGATGGGGATCTGGGGTGTGAGAGCTTCTGCACCCTTGTTACTTTTGTTCTTTCTAGTTTGGGTCATGGGGGAGATGGAAAGGAGAACAAGGTGACTGCAAACCATTTAGGAAAAGCTTCTTAGATTCTTCGAAGAACAGCTTGTAAGCAGTTCGCCCACAGGAGAGAGGGAGGTTATTCTTTCGTCTTCCATTCTACATCTCACCTTGGACAAAGTCAACATCAGACAGACCTGAGAGGTAGATGATCACAGAAGTGTGACTGGGATGGATTCTAGGAGGGTCAGAGGCAGGGCAATGGACACCATGATTTCTCCACATTGTTACCCACCCTGGTGTTCAGCATCAGCCCCCCACCACCCCTTTGTTATCTAAGTCTGCTTCTCCCTTGTGGGCAATCATGGACTTGGATCTTGATGTACGTTTTTTATTTGATTAGATCATGGTGTTCAGAGCATTGATTTTTAATTCATGAGTTGAGAAGGTGAAAACGAGGCTAAAAGGCCTATAGCTCTAGAACAGAAC